CCAGTTATCAGAGAGGGGAAAAAGAGTTCTCAAGCTTTAGAGATATACAATTAAATATATACAGGTGACATGGGAAGCAGATGGGGCAGGTCTTACTGGGTAATGGATACAAGGATGTTCACTGCACTATTCTGCCTGCTTCTGTGTACATTCAAAATTCTCCATAATAAAAAATTAAAAATAAAATTTAAATTAAAAAATTTGAAGCCTAAAAATGTTCACACCCACTTTCAGCTTACAAGAGTAAAAAACGATCATTATTTTAGCTAAACACAGGTCTCCCAAAAGGTCTAATATTGTTCTAATAGAAAGCTGATTTACCAATAATAGGATTCATCAATTTTCTTTTTTATCTTGGTGGTGGTGTCATGGGATTGAACCCAGGCCCTCCCATAAGTTGAATTCAGACCCCACCAAGCTACACCCCCAGCCCCAGGACTTTTGTGTGTGTGTGGTGCTAGGGATCGAGACCAGGCCCTTTTCACTGAGCTATATCCCCAGTACTTTTTCATATTTTACTTTGAGACAGGGTCTTGCTAAGTCATTAAATAGCCCAGGTTGGACTGGAATTGCCTCTGCATTCCAGAGTGCTGGGATTACAGGCATGCGCCATTAATTTTTTTTTTTTTTTGGTACCGGGGTTCAAACTCGGGACCTTGTGCTTTCAAGGCAGGCAACATTAATGTTTTTGATGCCCTGCTTCATTAATTTTTTATTTTTATTTTTTGGTACCGGGGATTGAACTTGGATCCTTGCACTTGCGAGGCAGGTGGTTGAACCACTGAGCTAAATCCCCGGCCCCTCATTAATTTTTTTTTTTTTTTGGTACCGGGGAGGTTCATTAGTATTTTTGATGGGCACATTTCCTTCAGTCCTTTAGTGAGATCTTTCTTTTGTTATTTTCAAACCCAATAGCAATGTTATGTAAGAATTTAGAGTACATGGCTCTCATATTTTTGTGAGATGGACTGGGACTATTTAGTGATCATGCTTAGAAAAACATCTTGGAAGCTGAGTGTGGTGGTGAACAACTGTGATCCCTGCACTGAGGCAGGATGATGGGGTACGAAGTGAGTTCAAGGTCAGCCTGAACTACATAGCAAGACCCTGTCTCAAAAAAAAATCTGGGGCCTTTATTAGTCCTTAATGTTTTCACATAAATATATTAAAGAAGTTCCAAAATGTGATAAGGCAACTGAATAAGTAGTTTTGAAATTTTTCCTCCGTGTATCCTAAAAAGCAAGGTTTATATTTGCTTTCATCTCCTTTGGTGGGAATAAATGTCTTTGGAATCAGACTGAGAACCAACCCTGTCTCTTAGAAACAGTATCTTAATGGCCTGGGGCAGGTTCTTTAAATGAGGATAATACCCTCAGGGAAGGACTTGTGAGAGAATTAAAACAATACCCTATGTACAGCTTCCACCACATGGCCTGACTCAGTTACTAACCAGTTCTGTAACTATTTGCAGTTCATTAATTTGGAATTTTAAATTATTGCAACCAATCTACATCTACTTAATGTAATATGCCAATAAAGTATCAAGAAGGAAAAAAAGAAATCTATTCTTTTTTTTTTGGTACCTGGGATCGAACTCAGGACCTTGCGCTTTCGAGGCAGGTGCCAGAACCACTGAGCTAAATCCCCGGGCCAAAAAAACCCTACTCTTTATAAAGAACTCTAAGGACCAGGGATTTAGCTCAGTGGTGTGCCACCTGCCTCAAAAGAGCAAGGTTCCAAGTTCGACTGCCAGTATCAAAAACCGCCCCCCAAAAACCCTAAAACCCAAAATACAATTCTCCAGGTTAATTCCACCCAAAATGTATAAAGATATAAAAAAGCAAATCCATTTGTGTTCCTTTGGGTCCTTAACCCAAGGATATAAGAAAACAGAGCTTAATCTAAAATAGAAAATGGGCAACTCCCCCCGCCTTTAAAAAATCCTTGAATGTTTCCTTATCATCTCCCAACAAAAAAGCCAAACTATTTGAAATGGCATTCTCTGAATTCAACTTACCTTTCTAGCTATCTCCATTAAACCATTTCATTTTTTAAAAATATACATTTTTAGAAGTGCCTACTAAGCTTACACAATACTGGGTTTCAATGTGATACTTTCACACATGCATGTGACATATTCTGATCCCGTATCTACTGCCCCATTCCCCTCCCTTACACCCACTCCCTCCGTTTCCCAGATACAATGCACGTTTCCCAGATACAGTGCACGTTTCCCAGATACAGTGCACAACCCTTGCCCTTCCATGGCCTCTGGGCATTCTCCCACTCTGGCTCTGGAAAGACACTGCTCTTCACCAGCCTTTCAACCTGCACACCACTTGTCTTGGGTCTTTAACTCTACTTGTAGACTTTATATTCTCTATTTTATATTCCTTAACAGCAAAAGGAATGTGCTATTCATTCACAGCAGTAACCTAATTTAAAACTTTATCCATAACAAGGATTCAAGAGCTGGGAGTGGTGGCACACACCAGTAAACCCAGCTACTCAGGAGGCTGAAGCAGAAGAATCACAAGTTCCAGGCCAGGATGAGCAGCTTGGTGAGACTTTGTTTCAGAGTTTAAAAAATAAAATAAAATCAGCAGAGTAGAGGAAGGCTCAGGGCCATAGCACTTGCCAAGTATGTATAAGGGTCCTGGGTTCAATCCTTAGTGCTGAAAAAAAGACACAATAATGCCTAAAGTGTAAATGGTAAAACATTTACATTTACTTGAACTTTCATTTATTATTTCACTTTTTTTTTCGAGTGCTGGGGATCAAATCCAGGGCACTGAGCATGCTAAGTAAGTGCACAACCACTGAGCTACACCTGAGCCCATATGATTGCATTTGCACCTTCATAGAATTAAAAGGTAGTTGGTTGAATAACTGCCCTATGACCGCTGTGACATGGCCAGAAAAAGAAGCAAGGATTTGATTTCCAATCCAAGTTATGTTCTATGGAAAAAGACATCCACGCTTTTAAGGCTGATATTTATTCCCCAGCAGAAGACAAAATGTAACATTATTTTTAATTCTTGTGAGATACTGGTACAAAAATCACAAAACAATGATCCACTGGATGTCCATATAAGACTGATAAAAACACCATGTATTTTGCTAGAAAAATTCCTACACTGAAACAAAGGCATTACTTGGCTCACCCCACCTTCCATAATTCTAACTGCTTTTACATCCTCTTTTAAAAAAATTACTGTCTCATATACTACCAGTTTTTTTACCACTATCTGATGTATGATCCACACAGAAAGGCAGGTACCTGCAACACTGCTTTGAGCACTTAGCTTAGAATTCTATGAACCATACCTACCAGTGTAGCTTTTCTATCTACCATGACTGATAGATAATTAGGCCCCCCATATTATGGGTTCCCACAGGATTCCTACCACTCAACAAACATGCTAAAATAAGCTACTAAATTCAGACTACTGAATCTTAAAACTGAGATATCAAACATTATCTAATCCAGCTCTTTGTATTATATATATGAAACAAATTGAGTCTGCACAAGTTAATTGTTCAGTTCACACAACTAGACTCCAAATGTTCCTGACTCTCTAAGCAATGCTAAATTTATTGCACATCATACAATGTTTTTTATCTTTCAAAGTATGTATCACTACTATTTTCAAGTAAGACAGGCTCAGAACATGAAATTGCCCATTTAGTTTTTGTTAATCACATGGGAAAAGCCAGGATTATTAGATGGTTTCTTCTCCCTCCTGTCTCTGTGAGAAATAAGTTCCAAGAATAAAATTTTAAAGTAGAACAGTTACACGAATTGTACAGAAACCACTAGATTTGTACCAAGTGGTAACGTACCATCACTACAGCAAACTCTAGTCAGTGACCTGAAGGTTCAAGTGATCCAAAACCCATTAGCCATTACCTATTCCCCAAGCTAGTTAGGACATACAGTGCTGAACTAACTGCACAAGGACAATGATTATTTCAAGGGTATATGTTACTAATAAAAAAGCAACGAATACGGAATGATTAAAATTTACAAAAGTCAGACTTTCCCTACTTTGTACTAAAGTTATTTTGGAGAAAACGACACTGAACTATTCAACTTTAACTGGTCAAATATGTGCTCTGGGGAGAGTTATAAACGTGGTTCTGGAATGTCTGTGGAACCTAGCAACCGCTTTTTATTGTTGGTACCAGGGATTGAACTCAGGACTTTATGCTTGTGAGGCAGGTGGCAGAACCACTGAGTTAAATCCCTGGCCCTAGCAACCGCTTTTTAAAGCTTCATTTGTGGACGTTTCTCCCTGCCTTTCCGTTCAAGACCTAAATATCTTTAAGAGGCAAACTAACGATCGTCAGTCTTTCCCACTAACACAACCAAAACCGTAAGACAGCTATCTGCACCGTTTGACAAATGAATCATCCAATCCAGTAAAAGAACTCACATACCACAACTGTGTTCTAAAGAAACAGTCATTTAACAATTTTGCAAGAAGCACAGAGGATAATTAGGCCCCATTCCAGACAATTCATTCCTGCACACTGCTTATGAGGCAAAAGCTTGACCTAGAAGTTGTCAGAACACCGCGAGCGCCGCAGCTGGAGGAGCCGGAGGGCGCGGACGCTCCGCACTTCCTCCTCCGCCACGCCCGTGCCGCCAGGTAAGCATGCCCTCTGGGCCGTGCGGCTCTTCGGCTGGGCTGGCGCCGACACTCGGGACCTGCAGGAAAAACTCTCCACCCTAAGACAGGGGCATCGCGGGGGTCTGATGTGGCCGCCCCCGGGTACAGGCACAGGAAAGCGTCGCAGAGCGGGAACTGCAACCCCGACCGGAGGCTCGGAGCGGCGCCCGAAGGAGCGCGGCTCGGGGAGGCGGGCGGTGACCCCGGCCACGCGGGGCAAACGCGGGGCAAACGCCGGGCCGCCTGCGGGGGCGCCCGGCCTGCGCTGCACTGCACGGCCCGGGCCCCGCGCGACCGCGGAGGCGGTGGGCGTGGGGCGCCGCTCACCTCTGAAGAAGCGCAGCGCCAGGCCGTGCAGCTCCTCCAGGCCGAAGCCCCAGCGCTGCTCCAGCCGCCGCGCCTCCTCCGCCGCCTCCCCGCACGCCGGCTGCTCGTCCGCGGCTCCCGGGCCCCTGCCGGACCCCGGGGCCGAGGGCGGCGGCAGCAGCGGAGCGCCCTCCGCGCCGGGCCGCTCCTCCGGGTCGGGGCTCAGCGTGAGGCCGTCCACGGACACCTCGAGCCGCTCCGTGCTCAACACCGCCGCCATCTCCGGCCGCTGCGCCTCCTCGGCGGGCTCCGGCGGCGGCCACGTACCGACTTCCTGCTGACCCCCGACCCCGCGCGCCGACGCCGGAACTTCCGCCGGCCGCCGAGGAGGCGCGGCGCGGGGCGAAGCCTGCGCCCCGCCTGGGTGCTGACCGCTGGGCCCGAGGAGCTGCGGCCTGGCCACTGGTTCGGCTTCCGGGTTTTCAAGGAGGAAACGGGCTGCTGAGAAGTGGCTTCGCGGGCGTAGCTGGAGGCAGACGCAGCGCTGGCTTTTACAGCAACAGAAGGTCGTGCAGTTTCTTAGGTCCTCGTGGGAAGGAAGTACCAATCATTAGGAGCCGAAGGCCGAGAAAAGGAATGTGTTAGAATGAGAAAGGACGCACTGACCCACGAAGATCAGGGCCGTGGCCGAAATACGTATTTCAGCAGCAGTGTGAAGCCTTTCTACAGCGGAGCCAGGAGTCAGGAACAGCTTTCCTGAGATGAGACGTGCCCTGCCTTAGGCACATTCACCTGTGCTTGTAGGCTTTGGGGCCACTCTTTCTAATGTTGCCTTATTTTGCTGGCTGCTTGTTTTTGGTCACCTTTTCCTATAACAATTATTTTGAAATGTTTTCTACAAAGAAAATGTTAATCTTTCCCTTTGTATGATAAAATGTCTTTAAATTGGTAACTCATTACTGACATTGACCTTTTTAGGGTTATCAAATTTGGGGATACTGTCACCAATTAGCGGAGGGCTCTTTTGCTCAATTTGGATGGAAGTCATGCGTTCAGGAAACGCGGCTCCCTTGATGTTGGAGCCCCAGACTGCGCTCAAGTCGCCGGCGTGTTATGGCGCTCAGAAGCTCCGACTCGACCCTCGGCTTTCAGCAACGAGGCCTCCAGCCTCTCTGACACCTTTCTGGAGCTCTTCCAGCAGCTTCTGCTGCCTCCCCTTCTCTCCGTGGACCCCCGCAGGCCTCTGCCAGTCGCGGCTGCCAGTCTCCCCTGTTCTCCGTTGTAGGTCTCCACTGTTGTAGGTCTGTGGGACTCCTCACAGTTGACTAGCCCCCTTTTTTATTTTTACCACATGTTTGCAGTACATAACGATTACATTTCCTCCTGGGAGTTGGTACATGTAGATAACACATATTTTTCTTTTTTTTTTTTTCCACATTCCCTTCGCCCCCTATCTCTTCCCATCATCGCTTGGTCTCCTTCCTATTTGCAAAAGATCTATGTCCCTATTTTTATTATCTTTTTTTTCTTTGTTTTTGAGGGGGATCAAACTTGGGACCTTGCACTTGGGAGGCAGGCAGTGGAAGCACTAAGCTAAATCCCCAGCTGTTTTTGTTTTTTGAGACCAGGTCTTGCTGTGTAGTTCAGACTGTCCTTGAACTCACTTTGTAGCCCAGACTGGACTTGAACACGCAGAGATCCTCCTGTCTCAGCCTCCAGATGCTGGGATTGCAGGTGTGTGGCACCACGCCCGGCAGACCATACCCAGGCCTAGAGAATCCACATTTTTAATAAGCTTTCTGGTGCAGCTGATGCTGCTGTCTACAGCTCACTTTCAATAGCAAGAATCCGGGTGTAGCTATGATAAACTTCAAATACTAATGTTTACTATTTGAGTTTTGACATATGCATATAATTTTAAAACTATTACTGCAATCAAGATGACACACATACTCATTACCTCTTTTGTAATCCTTCCCTCTCCCAGACTTTTCTATAGACATTTGTTACATCGTGCTCATCACAATAGATTCTGACTTATGTAAACACTTTAGAGAAAGCCTGCTTTATCATATCCCTGTCTCTTGTATACAAGGAGACAGAGGATTGCCAAAAGAAGCACTTTTTTTTTGGTACCAAGGATCGAACTCATGACCTTGTGCTTGCGAGGCAGGCACGGTGACACTGAGCTAAATCCCCCACTCTGGGATTTCAAATATTTTCTCCAAGTCCATTCTTATATAAAGGAGGGGTTTTTCCCCCCTTTATTTTCTTTTTCTTGGTTTTTTGAGAAAAGGTCTTGCTATGTAGCTTAGGTTGGCCTTGAACTCCCTATGTAGCCCAGGCTGGCCTCAATCTCATGACAGTCTTCCTGCCTCAGCCTCTTGAGTGCTTGGATTATAGCCATGTAACACCACATCGGGTTCAAGGAGGGTATTTTCAACCTACCAACTTTGCCATGTGAATTTTGGTTGCATCCTGTTAGAGTTTAGATCTTAAATGTCCCCCAACCCCCATATGTTAAAGGATTGGTCCCCAGTGCATGGCACTGTTCGAAGGAGCACACCCTTAAAGAGATGAGTCCTGCCAGGCATTTAGCTCAGTGCCACTGTGCCTACCTGGCAAGTGCGAGGTCCTGAGTTCAATCCCTGGTACCAAAAAAAAAAAAAAAAAGAGGTGAGGCCTAGTGGAAGGAAGTTAGGTCTTTGGGGGTATTCCCTTGAAGGGAACATTGGAGCTCTGGCCCTTCTTGTCTCTCTCTTTCCTTCCTGACAGTAGGAAGGCCAGGAGCTTTGCTTCACCATCACTTCCTACCATATTGGGCCATAAGCCCAAAAGTGACAGAGCCAACCGACTATGGGACTTCTGATGCCATGAGCCAAAATAAAACTTTTTTCACTTTAAGTTGATTTATCTCAAGTATTTTGTCACAGTGATGGAAAGCTAAAAACATCCCATTTCATTCAATGACTTTTTAGATGAAGTGTTACCATTTCATAAATACTTGCTGAAGTTTTGTCACTAAAATCAGCATTTCCTGTGTTCTGGACACATATTTTCATCTTCTCTGCTAAGTGTTGTTAGGTCTCCAAACAGGAAGTGAGTTCAATTTTTGTTTCTTCCTTTACCTGGTGATTAATAATCAGTACTCAGTAAAATTTTTCAGTCAGTCTTATTATAATGTAATGCAGAACACTAGTAGTGAAAATTCTGTTGTGTTCCTTGCCCACTGGCACCTGGTCCCTGGCTCAGGATGGAAAATTCAGAAGGCGCTCAGAATGTTTTATTGAATGAAAGACTGAGTGAAGGTATAATTACATTGATTGCGTGTAATATCAGTTCAGCCCAACATACAATTAAGTGCCTTGTACAGGAGGTGCCCTAAGTTCAGCAGGAGAGATCACTCCAGAGCACTAGATTAGGGTTATTTTTGTGGTTAGGATCCAAAATATCTTGGAAAAGATGCATCATGTTGAAGGTTTGGTTCCAGCGGATGGGCTTTTGGGAAGCGGTTGGTCATAAGCGCTCTTTCCTGCCCTCTCTGCCCTCAGAGCCATAAAATGAGAGGCTGTGGCTCTCTTCACAGCCTCTACCATGAAGTCTTGCTTCCCCTCAGGCCCACAGCAGTGGGATCATCAAGAACTCAAAGCATATGCTGGTAAGGCTGCCATGAAAAGAGACACTTCTACACTGTTGGTGGAATATAAACTAGTACAACCAAAGCAAAGCAAAGCAAAGCAAGATGGAGAGTCCTCAGAAAACTAAAACTGGAAGTTCCATGGGGACCACCTATTCCCCTTTTAGGTTTCTTCCTGAAAGAGTTAAAGGCATCATACCACAGTGATCTGCACATCCATATTTATAGCAGCACAACTCATAACAGCTAAATTTTGGAGGCAGCCTGTATGTCCACCAACAGATGAGTGGATAAGGAAAATATGGTATATATACATACAATGGAGTACTACTCAGCCATAAAAATGATAAATTTGAATCCTTTGTAGGAAAATGGATGCACCTTGAGACCACAATGCTAAGGAAAATCAATCAGACACAAAAGTTTAGATATTGCATGGTTTCTCTTTTTTTTTTTTTTTTTTTTTGGTACCG